GCCGCTGGTGGAGCTGCTGCTTGCTCCGTCATGTTTGTCGCTAGCCAATCGCCAAGCTTACTTTCTTTTCAATTTTCTCAGTTCACTGCTTAGAGCGAGTGCACTTCTGACACCATGTTGTGTTGGGCTCTTGAATAAAACTCCCCGCTCAAGCGATAACGTGGAGCAACAACCATCTTTTATTTTAGCTTACTCTCGTGCTGATTACATGCCACCATTTCCTGACTAGAGGGTAAGTACTGCCGCCTAGTGGCGCATGATGTACATCAATATAGATTACACCACAATTCTCATTTAAAATGTCTGGCTGTTATTAAATAATTATCTGAATCTTACACCCATCGTTTTTATCTGATGTAAAATGTATAGAAATCAAACATATACCAACAAGACTGTACATCACTGTAACAACAACGTTTGTTTTCATTCAAAGGCTTTATGGCTTTAATACCTGGTGGGTACTTGGGTATTTGAACAATGGAACTGTTTAGCTTGCAGCACAGTTTTTTCAGAGTAAAACTTGAGTCTATCCATCGTACGATCAGACTTAGCCATGGCAACGCACAGACATCCGAGCTCCAGAAATCGGCTGTTAAGCTTAACGTGAGAATGCTTTACAAACATTCAGAGATGAACTTACACACATGCTTTATTTCTCTGGTATAGGTTTCTCGAAGATGAAATGCCAGTTTGGCATCACGTAGCGAAGCTCCAAATGCTTTCAGTGTGAAGTAACTCCAGACTGCCGACAGGTCTCGCACACAACAGCCGCTCTATCACATGACGCAAACTGCTCCAGTGTGCTAAGGTCACTACCTGGGTTACGTCATGTCACAAGTTTTGTGAGGTGCTTTTGTGATATTTAACCTCCTAGGACCTGCGTCCACATATGTGGACGTCACATTTTGGGTTATTTAGACCAAAATACTCAATTTTGCTCTACAAGGGCCTGATATCCACTTACGAGGACATTATACTGCTACTGTTCTATCAAAATTTTAAACGAATATCCTCATATGGCTCTTATTTTTCTTAAAAACAAAAATAAGGTAAAAAAAATATCTGGTAATTCTTTGTTTTTACATTCATTGGGCCCCAATATGCCCAAATATCAAAGAGAAATTAAAAATGCTGCTGTGGAGTTCGGGTCCTAGGAGGTTAAGGGACCGGGTTACATTTTTTATTCCTCCCCAATAGCCGATCCAGTAATTTAGGTCAGGATCGGACGGATACTGATATCGTATGTTGGATAGGTCCATCCCTAGTAATAATTACACATCTGACACCATAACTACCCTACATCACATCACAGACACCCAGTGAGACAGCATAACACACTCAAAGAGTCCATTAAAGTCATTTTCTCTTTTCTTTTCTTTTCTGTCTGCACATGGTCAGCCAGTCATCCAGAGGTTACCAGCACTTAGCCTAAATATATAGTCAGTCTATGCTGTACATCTCATAGTGTTAAAGTCAAATCAAAATAAGTCATGTTAAGTTGTGTCAAAGGTGTCATCAACATGGGTCTGAGGTCTCCTGAAGAAGGGATATCTTTGTGATGGGTGTGCATACATGGCTGATTGGGGTCTTAACCAGACCTGGCTTACAAGCCCTTTTTGGTCTGGCGCAGCTCCTTTGACTCTCCCAATGATCCAGGAACCATGAGTTGCAGAGTCATCCAACATGAGGACCACATCTCCAGGAACAAAGTTGTGTTTAATCTTCCCCCATTTCTGGCACTGTTGAAGTTATAGCAAGTGTTCTTTGATCCATTTTTTACAAAACAGATCAGATGTATATTGGAACTGTCTGCATCGTTTTCGTGCATAGAGATCACTTTTGGAACTGGAACAGACCAGGTGGTAAACATGCGTTGGACTTGAGAAGGAGGAGGTGGTTTGGTGTTAAAGCTTCCAAATCATTTGGATCGGTCGATTCCAGTGTATTGGGTCTACTGTTGAGGATTGACTTGACTTCACAAAGAGCAGTTTGGAGTCCTTCTTTGTTAAATGCTGTGTCTACAGGGTGGAATTAAGGACCTTTCTGATGGAACAAATTAACAGTTTCCATGCTCTGCCATGGTGTGATCCAGTTGGAGGATTAAAGATCAATTTCACTCCCTTCAAGATGGCACATCAGAGATCTTTTCCTGATTCCACTCTCGTCTCAGCTCGCGCTCTGTGACTTTATATTGTAAGGTAAATCGTACAATAATAGATACAGAGAAAAACCCAACAATCATATGACCC